GTTCAGTGACCTATCTGAGATCATACAGCTAGTAAGTGGCAGAGTCTATGTTAGTTTGGGCCAAAGCCTGTGACCATTCACAACATCTACCTTCCCTTCTCACCATAATACACGTGGCCATCCCAAGCATGTGGGAGAGGCTTTGCCAAGGGTCTATCCCAATCCCTGTGGGAGGGTCTTTGCCATCAGGCACCTATAGGGCCTGAGGCATGAACAAGACCCTGAGGCAGGTCCAAAGATAAGGAAGCAGATAGACTGGCAGGCCCTGAACAAAAGGACAAACAGAGTTAACCATGTATGAAAGAGGATTCCCAGCTGCAACCAGCACTGTAACCAGCTAATCAAAACCAGGCCAAATTACGTCCCAGGCAATTTTCTGGGCAGCCCTCAGAGAGTCACCCAGCCTGAAAAGTCAGCCAATTATGCCTGATCATTCTCTGCAGCCCTGTCCTTATAAAAAACAAGTCCAGACTGGCCCAATGTAGACAAATGAGCAGTTCTATCATCTCTGAAAGACAATCTAATTCCCTTCAAATTTAAAAGTCTCTACAGTTTCCTAACAGGCCTCGGTGGGGCACAGGTAGAAATTAATAAGTTCATGATGTGCCCAGCTTGCTTTCATTATCATTTTTTTCCATGCAGCGGGCAGAATTTTCATTATTACTCAAGGATTTTTTTTCTGTATCTGATTCTAAGAAGGTCAAATCTACAGAGCTCAGACACTGGGTTGAGAATTGAGTCAAGTCTAGTGGACTTGACTGAAGTCTGAGGGAGGTTTCATTCACTAAGCATCAGCACTTTACTAATCAGGTGGGACAGAGATCAGAAGAAAATATCGTAGGGAAAGAGAACTCAGAGTAAGTGCTGAGAAGCCCTGGCTCTAGATTCAGCCCCAGGCTAGCCTGCTCTGGGATGTTGGGCAAGTTGCTTAGCCTCTCTGAGTTAGTTATCTCCCCTGCCAAACTGGCAGGGAGGAGGGTATGGAATAGGAAACTCAAATTTATTAAACTTCTGTATCTTGAATCATTGCAAGATGTGTCATAGACACTCTTTAAATTTCATCAAAACAACAAACAGCTCTAGAAAGCTTGTATTATTTTACAGATGATGAAAGTAGGGCTACTACTAAATCCCACCATCAGAATGCACCTTATGAGGGCCAGGGACTGAGGGACTTGGGTGGTGTGAATGAAATTGCAAACTCATATAACTTTTCTGGAAAGCAATTTAACAGGTTTCACAACCTTTAAAATGTTTGGCCAATTAACTAAAATTCTGGAAATCCATCCAAACAACAGAATCTGAAATGTGAACACATGTTATAATAAAAGAGAATTGGAAATAGGCAAAGTGCCAATCAGAGAAAGGTGAACTCCAGAACATTCATTAAGTAGGAAATCATGTAATCATTTAAAAAGTTGCAGAAAAATATGTAATAAATGGCAAATTTTCATTACTGTGAAAAAATAAGTTATAGTATTCAAAATGAGGTATAATAACAAGTTTTATTTTGAGATAGGGTCTTGCTCTGGGGTGCAGTGGCACAACCTTGGCTCACTGCAGCCTCAGCTTCCTAGGCTCAATTGATCCTCCTACCTGAGCCTCCTGAGTAGCTGGAACTACAGGTACCTGCCAACACACCCAGCTAATTATTAGTAATTATTATTATTTTGTAGAGACAAGATCTTACCATGTTTCCCAGGCTGGTATCAAACTCCTAGGCTCAAGCAATCCTTTCCTCCCCAGCCTCCCAAAGTGCTGGGACTATAAGCATGAGCACCCAGAGTGATCGCAATTTTTGAATGAAAAAAAAAAAGTAGAAAAATGACAAGAAGGAAATAGACTAAAATGTTATACCTCATGCTTTTACTGTGTGTTTAACTGTATTTTCCACAGTTTCTACAATAAATACTTATATATCTCACTTGTTATTGTCATAATCAGGAGATATACCATAAAAGCTATGTTAAATCTTTGAATTTTGCAATTACTTAGAAAATGCAATCGTAATATTTAAATGAAAATCATGTGAGATCATGTATGATTCTAAATGATATATTGGCAGAATCTATATGTAAAACATTTTTCTTAAAAAAAAATTAAAGGGAGAGACACATAAGAGAAATAACAGCACAAATGGTATGGATGGAACTGTCTTCCACAAAGCTTAGAGCCTATCTCCTGGGCTAAATGAGAAATAAAGACCACTGGGAAATGGGTGGGAAAACTGACACACAATACAAAAGCAGCTGATAAGGGAGGACTAAAAGCTTCAGTTGACTTCGAGGAGTGATGGAGTTGGCAGATATGAATTTTTCAATTTTATGAGAATGATAGGGATCTGAAATAAATCTTCGGTATTTTCTTTTTAAGATAAATGTTTTAAAATAAATGCCTGCAGCATGGATGGATGGCTAGTGCCTGTGTCCTGTCTTAGAGCTGATCATAAATAACACTGAGAAAAATAGCTTCGGCCATTCTAAAAACCACCTTTATTTTTTACTCCTAAGAGCTTGGAGGATTATATTTTGATGCATTAAGCTAGACTCTTTTAAGGCAGCTGCAAATAATAGAAGTACAGAAGTTGTCTTCAAATGGAAATAACTAGTCAGAGTTTGGCTTAGAAGGTTTCAAGAAGTGCCTGAACAGCTGTGGGTGCATCTAATGGTCAGAATACAAATTCAAGTTTAAAGGCATTTGTTTCTGATTTAAGGAAATCCTTTTGTGAGTCTTCAGATGAAACCTTAATTCTTCTTCAGCCCTATAACCAACAAACTTTAATAACCTTTTGTAAATCCAAACTTTCAAATATCAGATTTGCTTGAGGTATTTTGTTTTTTTTCTATTGTGGTCTGTACATGAGAGAGCTTATAACTTTACTGTAGAACAGCTTATTCAACGACTTTGGTTTCCCTTTCACCATGAGATGAGAACAGGACATTAAAAGCAGACGTACAATCAGACACATTGCTCATCTTTTATAGTGCCAGCCTCAGCACACTGCAATGACTTCATGTCATCTGATTACTTCCTGTTTGTCATTTATTTTCTCTGTCATATTTGAAAGAGGGGTCACATGTTCAGACGGAAAGGTGAACAAGAGGATCTTCTTAGTGGAAGGGCCTCTGCATATAGGCTGTGAGGAAAGGGGCTGAGGGCAGTGAGGGGCTCATGCTCAGTGGAAAAATGAAAGCCACTACTCAGCTCTGTATTTCAGACTTATCAAGATAAACCATAATCCTGCATTTTTGTGCTAAATCTCCCAATTTCTAAATGTTGTTTCTATTTATTTTTTGCTCTGTCACACAGGATAGAGTGCATTTTGTACACAGTTCACAGCAGCCATCTAAAATTCCTTGAGTCAAGTGATTCTCCTGCCTCAGCTTCCTGAGAAACTAGGACCAGGCAAGCACCACCATGCCCAGATAATTATCATTATTATTATTTTGTAGAGATGGGTTCTGATTATGTTGCCCAGGTTCATCTTGAACTTCTGGCCTCAAATGATTCTCCTGCCTCAGCCTCCCAAAGTGCTGGGGTTACAGGCATGAGCCACTATATCTGGCATCCATTTTTTTAAGTGCATAATAAACCAAACATTTCCATGACCCAAACATTTTTACTAATATTTGTTTAAAAATCTCATTTCCGGGGATTGCTAATAATTGCTGACTAAGCCCAATAGCATTATTAGCTATGTCCAAGAAAGAGATGTGTTGGAGTCTTCCTAGACTGGCAAAGAAGGTTTAGGGAAGATACTTCATCTTTTGTGGTAAAGACTGCAGGAGTTTATACTTCCAACTGGCATTTGGTAAAACTGGGACTTCTGAGGGTGATTGGGAAATGTATGAAAATACCTCAATTCTAAACATCATGGAAGTCACAGGTACCCTCGGTGGTTTTCATTCTACATAAAATAAAGCTTTCTTCTGAGAGCAGAGTATCTCCCTCACTCTTTGCAAGAATGCTTACGGGTTTATCTTCACATAATACTGAATTTCCCAATTTAATAAAACTACCTTCTCACTCCATACTTTATAATATTCCATAATGAAAGATATCTTCACAGAGCTTATCTCTTAGAAGTGCAAAAGAACCCCGTTTTCTCTGCCTAAGTAGCTCATAATGTAGCAGGCAAACTGTCAGAAAAAAAACAGACTTCATCGTGGTGAAACCTCAGCCCAGCACCCATCTATCAGAAAGCAATCTTCTAGAAAGCTTGAAAACCTTCATTAAATTTCCTGTCCTTCTCCTGACAGTTATAAAATGTTAACAAGATTACAGATGCAGGCATCTTCAGAAATCGTTTGTCTAATCCCTCCTCCCGCTGCCATGACCAGTCCCTTCTCTTTGCCAAAATCCATGGAAGCATGAGGCATAGCCGAGTTCCTCACTCAGCCCTCCTGGGGCCTACCATTTGAAGAGGGTCCAAGGAGGAAGCAGACGTAGCCTTGATGATAGTGAGAGGTTCTCTAGCCACAAGAGGGAAATATGGCACTGCCTTGGGATTCCTCCTCCAAAGACACACGCACTTGGAAGCTCAAGAACAAGACCCTGTGCCACTCTTAGCAGATATTTCCTGGTCTTTCTCTCTCTCTCCTTTCTCTTGCCCATTTACCAAGCAACAAGTCTCCATTTATCGATTATATGTGGATAGTGGGGACAACGGGTTATCTCTTTATGGGTAAAATTCCCCTAAGAACCTTACTAGCCCAACTTCTCCAACTCTGCAGGCCGCTTCAGCAATTTACCACTCGTTAGAAGAAGAAACAAGGGTCTTGCACTGGAGGCAACATGAAGGAAAAAACAAACAAAAACACAAGGAGAGCCAGAATCCATCCCAGAAATAAGAAGCGGCATACAGCTTTAACATCACAGGCTGATCTAGAGATGCACAGGGTGGTGACAGTAGCTATAAAGCCATATTCTGGGCTTTGTGGAGGTTTCACAGCACATCTTCAAAGTGAGCCAGGCCCAGCCGTACTAAGCCATAATCTCACCTGCAAAAGGAACCGGTGCATCTTTATCCAGGGCTACCAGTGGTGGATCCAAAATGACTGTGTCATTGTTCTCGGTTATGACTCCATGATATGAAGTCTCGATCCATGGCTTGTGCTTATTGACTAGAAAATAGGGGAAAGAAAAAACAAAAAGGATCATTATTTAAATAACAAACCCATACTAATGTATTATTAAGATTGTATATTTGCCCAATCATAGGCTGTCATCCAACAATCCCGTGAGAGACATGGAGCATGTTAATCCCATTTTAAACCCAGAAAAGCTTCAGAGAAGTGCAGGGAGAGGTTCGACACCTCACCCAAGGCACTCAGAAGGTGACAGACAGTACTGACTATCAAACACTGTTTGTTTTGCCTCTAAGACCATGGGTTCTTCACCTCATCAAAGTCCCATTATTTGTATTTCTGGATACCCAGTACAGATAGATATTATTGAGAACTGATTGAAAGCTTTAATTCTGTAATGCTACCATCTATTAATAGATGTTTCAGAGTTAAAGTCATTTATCAATCAATAAACTAGCAGTTACTACCATGTATGCTCAGGTTTCTGACCTCAACCAAATCTGATCCATCATTGGAAGTTACTGCATTTTATATACATGTATACACACACATATGTATAAATATCATTATATATGCAAAGATACAACAGATATTTGAATATTTTCTGATCATTTAAAAATTGTGTATCTCAGTGGTCTAAATTATCTAGCAACTTAAGTTGTTCTTCAATAATTTCACTAGCTGAATTAAATATTAACCAATGAACAATTAATACACTGAAAATACATATCAACTATATTTTACAGGTTGAATTGTGTCCTCTACATTAAAAAAATACATTGATATCCTAACACTTAGAACCTCAGAATGTGAATGTATTAGGAGATAAAATCTTTACAGAGGTAATCAAGTTTTAAAATGTCATTAGGGTGGTTCCGCGTCCAATATGATTAGTGTACTTATATAAAGGGAAAATTGTGGCACAGATATATGCACACTGAGAAAATCTCATGTGAAAATAGAGTTGTGCAGCCCCAAGCCAAGGAACTATAGGAAGCTAGGAGAGAATCCTGGAATGGAGCCTTTCCTAGAGCCTTCAGAGGGAACCCGGACCTGCCAACACCTTGATTTCATATTTCTGGCATCCATAAATGTGAGACAATAAGTTTTTGTTCCCAGATACCCAGTGATACGGTTTGGCTCTGTGTCCCCATCCAAATCCCATCTTGAATTGTACTCCCATAATTCCCACATGTTGTGGGAGGGAACCAATAGGAGACAATTGAATCATGGGGTTGGTTTCCCCTATACTGTTCTCCTGGTTGTGAGTAAGTCTCACGAGATCTGATGGTTTTCTCAGGGGTCTCTGCTTTTGTGGCTTTTTCATTCTCTCTTTGCCTGCTGCCATCCATGTATGATGGGATGGTAAGAGGTCCAATTAAACCTCTTCCTTTTGTGAATTGCCCAGTCTGGGGTATGTCTTTATCAGCAGCATGAAAACAGACTAATACGGTAAACTGGTACCAGTAGAGTGGGGCGTTGCTGAAAAGATACCCAAAAAGGTGGAAGTGACTTTGGAACTGGGTAACAGGCAGAGGATGGAACAGTTTGGAGGACTCAGAAGAGAGGAAAATGTGGGAAAGTTTGAAACTTCCTAGAGACTTGTTGAATGGCTTTGCCCAAAATGCTGATAGCGACATGGGCAATGAGGTTCAGGCTGAGGTGGTCTTAGATGGAGATAAGGAACTCGTTGGGAACTGGAACAAAGGTGACTCTTGTTATATTTTAGCAGAGACTGGCAGCATTTGGACTCTGCCCTAGATACTTGTGGGATTATGAACTTGAGAGAGATGATTTAGAGTATCTGGTGGAAGAAATTTCTAAGCAGCAAAGCATTTGAGAGGTGACTTTGGTGCTGTTAAAAGCACTCAGTTTTAAAAGGGAAACAGAACAGGTAAGTTTGAAACATTTGCAGCGTGACAATGTGATAGGAAAGAAAATCCCATTTTCTGAGGAGAAATTCCAGTCAATTATAGAAATTTTCATAAGTTAAGGAGCAGCCCAATGTTAATCCCCAAGACAATGGGGAAAATGGCTCCAGGGCATGTTCAGAGGTCTTCATGGCAGCCCCTCCCATCACAGGCCCTGAGGCCTAAAAGAAAAAAACGTGGTTTCATGGGCTGGGCCTCTGAGCTATATGCAGCCTAGGGACTTGGTGCCCTGCATCCCAGCTGCTCCAGCCATGGCTAAAAGGGGCCAACATACAGCTCAGGCCATGGCTTCAGATGATGCAAGCCCCAAGCCTTGGTGGCTTCCATGTGGTATTGATCCTGTGGTTGCACAGAAGTAAAGAATTGAGGTTTGGGAACCTCCACCTGAATTTCAGAACATGTACGGAAATGCCTGGATGCCCAGGCAGAAGTTTGCTGCAGGGGAGGGGCTCTCATGGAGAATCTCTGCTAGGGCAGTGCAGAAGGTAAATGTGGGGTCGGAGCCCCCACACGGAGTCCCTATTGGGGCACTGCCTAGTGGAGCCGTGAGAAGAGAGCCACTGTCTCCAGACCCCAGAATGCTAGATCCACCGATGCTTGCACCTGTGCCTGGAAAAGCTGCAGGTACTCAACACTAGCCCATGAAAGCAGCTGGGAGGGAGGCTGTACCCTGCAAAGCAACAGGGGCGGAGCTTTCTGAGACCATGGGAACCTACCTCTTGCATTAGGGTGACCTGGATGTGAGACATGGAGTCAAAAGAGATCATTTTGGAGCTTCAAAATTTGACAGCCACACTGGATTTTGGACTTGAATGGCCCTGTAGCCCTTTTGTTTTGGCCAATGTCTCCCATTTAGAATGACTGTATTTAGCCAATGTCTGTATGTATCCCCATTGTATCTAGGAAGTAACTAGCTTGCTTTTGATTTTACAAGCTCATAGGCAGAGGGGACTTGCCTTGTCTCAGACGACACTTTAGACTGTGAACTTTTGATTAACGCTAAAATGAGTTAAGACTTTGGGGGACTACTGGGAAGGCATGATTGTTTTTGAAATGTCAGGACATGAGATTTGGCAGGGGCTAGGGGCAGAATGATATGGTTTGGCTCTGTGTCCCCAGCCAAATCTCATCTTGAATTTTACTCCCACAATTCCCACCTGTTGTGGGAGGGACCCAGTGGGAGATAATTGAATCATGGTGGCAGTTTCCCCCATACTGTTCTTGAGGTAGTAAATAAGTCTCACAAGATCTGATAGTTTTATCAGGGGTTTCTGCTTTTGCATCTTCCTCATTCTCTTGCCTGCTGCCATCCATGTAAGACGGGACTTGATCTTCCTCGCCTTCTGCCATTATTGTGAGGCTTCCCCAGCCAGGTGGAACTGTAAGTTCAATTAAACCTCTTTCTTTTGTAAATTGCCCAGTCTTGAGTATGTCTTTATCAGTAGCAAGAAAATGGACTAATAGACACAGTTTGTGGTACTTTGTTACAGCTGCCCTAGCAAATGAATACAGTATACTTCTATCAGCAGGTACTAATGAACTAAAATAAGACTGTGCCAGGATTTGGTGTAATACTCCAATGTGAGAACCTCATCTGGTGAAAACCCAGTTCTTGCCAATTCCTTCCCCTTGTATGTCTTTGTTTGATAGGTTCTAGCCCAACTCACTCCTATCTGAATGGCTGCAGGGGCCTCCTGACCGGTCTCTCCATTGGAAATCTTGCCCTACTCTAATCTACTCTGCACACTGGTATCAAGAGTGATCTTTCTAAAACATTAATCTGATTACTCAACTGTGAGTTGCTTGGTTTCTCTTTTTTAGTCCCCTCTGCCCACCCCCAATACCCTCACAGAAGTCAGGATACAGAGTAGGTACATTAGAATCAAAATAACAGGTTAGAGAGGGGGATCTAGAATAATCAAAATTGTTCCGATGCCAAACTTCACACCCTATTTCATAGTTTAAAAGGTGTGGTCACATATGCAATGCTTATCACAGCATCCTGTGAGGTACGCATGATCATTATAAAGATGAATAAACTACCTCCACATTATAAAGATGAATAAACTACTTTCCCAAGGCGATTATATGGTTAAAAATTAATAAGTAGGAAAATCAGAAACTCATACTTTGTGATATCTGAGAAGTGAACACATACATATTATAATATATATGTAATGCACATTATACAGTATATATTTTATATATTACATTACATATTTTTCAGTAGCCACAGCAAAGTGAGAGCTTATAGAATTGCGAGCAGCTCTGAGGCAGTGTCTCCTGTCCCCTTCCCACCTCATCGTCCTTCAAAAGGTCAGTTCAGAGCTGTTCCAGGAGCAGTGGCAGACTAAACCAGGGCCACCATTTTGCTCCTTCTCACCCATTCCACAGCAATCACAAACTAACTGGAAAGCAGTCTAATGAGGTAGGGACATGTGCCTTGCTATTCTCAGGTCTTGGCCCCTGTAACCCATTTTTACAGATTGGACCATGCCCAGGGCAGAGAGAAGCTCTAGCCACTGCAGGTGTGAACTGGACAGTAGGCACATCCATTCTCACATTTTGGCATTCAGACTGATGCTTCATTATGGACCCTGGAAGAATTACAACCACCCGGGGCTGTCCCTACACTCCTTTGCTCTTTTATTAGCCATCAACACAAATACAATGTAAATAATTTGCAGCTGTTGGGAGAAACAATTAAATCTTTTCCCCTTAATTAAACCTAGGGGCCTGTTCATTAGAACTGTGTACAGAGCATACGCCAGGAGCTCATCCAGTGTTTCAGATTCATTGTGCCTATCTAAATGGTCTAAATTAGATAGTCTCAGTGGCAGACAATGAAATCTAAAGTTGCAGTTCCTGGTTTTAGCCCTGACTTAGTCACTTCTGGCTGGTCCTATTTGAAGCCGGTGGCCTCTCTGAGTTTCAGTTCCCATGACAGTAAAATGCTGATGGTGATGCTACTTACGGTGTTGTTCTGTCATTCATACGTCCTGTGCTAGACACACAGCTGCTGCTTTTTCATTACTCAAACTCACCACCCTGCTTGCTGGGCAGTAACAATGTCGGAAGGAGAGGTGATTTACAGACCAACTTTAA